AATTGGTGACTGGTAATCAGCTTGACCAGTCATGAGACTTTGATCTAGGGCCTGCAGTAAAAGTTGATTGGCAAAACCTGGTCTCCAACTCTTCCTTTCAATCATCAATTTGCAGATGAAAAATTCTTAAGCAGGGGAAATTTTTATCAGTTGACCAACTCTTCTCTTGCAAGAGGTGGTAGAGGAGGTGGCAATCAGTGGTGGTAATGTCAACTACTCAATTGTATGACTTGCTCTACACATCCAGTCCCAACTATCTGGAACTTTTTGGTTGTCTGTTTGACATTGTTGTGTGTGTGTCTGTCTGTCTGTCTGTCACAGTTTTTGTCTCTGTCTCAATGTCTCTCTCTTCATGTGAACATGTTTCTTTCAGGTATTGGGTTATAAATCAATTTGCATATCATGCATAGTAATGGAATCAGTGAAAGTGGCTTGGTAACTTAATTCTCTAGTTATATACTAAAAGAGTCAGTCAAATTTATGACCTCATATATAAACAAGGTAAAATTGAGGAATAGTATTAAAAAATAAAAAAATTCTCTAACTGAATTTTGGCCAAGTTTCTACCTAGTGCAGCCAGCTGTTATTTTTCTAGCAGAGAATGAGGGTGAGTTTTCCTTGTTTTACCAGATCCTAATAACTTAAACTATTTGAAACCCTATTATGTCATGACTTCAAACCCAATTCCAGATGCTGATTCAACTGATTGTAATGAAATGCTTTCATATCAAATTACCAAGTTAATTTACATTCAAACCAGCTATTAGGAATACATTCACTTATTTTTAAAATACTGTTACATTCCTCCTTCAATCACTTGTAATTTACCCTACTTGGTATATTAGAACCAAAACAATTTTGATTCCAAATGACCATTAAGTACAGATTGACTTACTAGTAAAATCCACACCAATTACATCAGCAAAGAACTATGATTTTTACATTTTGCAGTTTTCCAGGGAAATGATTTTCTTCTCTTCTATTTAGGGAATTATTCCATGAAGATTGCAATAAATGGTAATCCAAATGTGGAACATCTGGTAAATATGACTGATGAATAACAAATTCCTACTCAAATGGTAAAGATTTTGTCTGGTCTCAAAAGATTATTTTGATGAAATAGTATGTCCTTTTTTTGTAACTAATCAATGTTTTCAGGTGATCTAATTAAGAGCAGTATTCATTTGAATCAATCATTTGTCTTTTTGGAAGAACTTCATGGTAGAAAAACCCTTTCCAATGCTACTATACACACTGTCACTATTTTATTATAAAAGTCAATGTTTCCATAATAAAACTTGTATTAACCTACTGATGCTGGTAACATTTTGGGGATATATTTATATGAGCAATACATCATGTATCTTATAGTATCTATCTGTGTTTATTAAAAATATTTATATGAATTAGTTTGGGGAATGTCAAATTTTGTTTGAATTTCTGGGTTGAGGAGTTATCTTTACTTACATGTTGACTATTGTTCTCCTCTTTGTTGCTGTCATCATGTTTCAGCTTTTACAGCAACAAAGATGAGGACAATAGTGTGTATGTAAATAATATCATGTTTTATTATGCAAACAAAATTATATTTGATTAATAAATTATTCTATACCTTAATAAATTATTATTTTACAATTGGTGGGGAATGTTCTGTTGTGTTGCAAAGACATTTTTTAGGGGCAGCTTATGAAACAGGCTAGAGAGAAAGTTATGACAACTAGTTGGATAATTTTATTCAGATTTAGTAAAAGGCAAAGGTATGTTACTTCCCTCTTCTGGACAAGGATAAGATTGATTCTTTCATTCTTGAAAAGACTACAGTTGTGAAGCATTGTTGTGGAAACTTCTGTTGCCAAACATGAGAGGACAAGAGTCACTGATTATAAGCTAGAGATGAGTGCTGAGAGTTGTCTCCAATGGTGGGAAAGATATTTATTTCAAACAGAAGGAGAAAAATTGGCTTTCTACAACTTTGATTTAAGGACATTTGTAAACAATGCCTCACATCATTTAATATCAACCCTACCACCTGGGAAAATATTGCTCAGCACTATCTTTAATGGCAGCAGTCAATCTGCAGACTGAGACCACCTTGGCTTATCATAAAGAAGCCAAGAGAATAAGGAAGAAGTACAAACAGTGGGAGACCACCACCACATCATTGGGACAGGCCTCTACATACAATATCATCATATCTGCCTGTCACATACTGAACTTTGCTGGCAGATGATTCATGAGTGTCTGACTCTCGAGTATGGAAAATCAAATGATCTTCTAAGACTGCAATGATAACAGACTAGATATGTGTTTGTAAATACAAATGATTTATTTAACAGGCATAACCATGTTTTCTTTATTTTTATTTTAGTATTGTTTGAAATTCAAACGTTTGGATTATTAATATAAAAAACCCTGAACGACTGAATTTCTTACAAAGGAGTGACCAATTTTTGATGTGTACAATGCCTTTTTCTTTTAATTAATTTATGATCAACTTAGAAGTATTACAGTTTACACCATCCTGTTGAAAAATGTACAAATTTTAATATATTTAGGATATACCTTCATATTTAGGATATACCTTTTCAATTTTCATTCCCATTGTATAAAATGATTACACTTTTTTTATTTCCTTGAACAAATAATTTTAAACAATGTTTGATAGTATCCAAACCCTAAACATTTGTCAAATTCAAATAATTTTGAATTTGATTGGTCACTTTTCTTGGGTGTTTCTTCAATTCATTAATAACTGTTCTTATGTTCTATTGTGTTTATGACCAGATTTTGGTCAAGTTTATTGTCCTTCAGAATACCATTTATAAATTTGTCGCACACTACAATGGAATATTTCTAGGGTAGAGACAGTTTCCATTTGAGAGTGATCCTTCTCACAAAGAGGAATAACTTTTTGTCATTTTTCAGTTGAAATGTGGCATTTGCCAATAAAATACATAAATTGAATAAAATGACAATTTTATTGATTTCTATGCAATACTAAATTTAAATTCCCATTTTATTAAGTTATATTGAAGTGCCTAAAATATTGTAACTAGCTAAAATCCTGGTAGGCCTTGTTAAAATCTCTATTAACTATTATATATTTAAAATATATGTATTATTTGAAAATAATTAGATTAGCTTGTTCTTTGATTTGTCATTTATCTCTAAATTTTGGATTTAATTTAGTATCACAATTTTAAATTGTATAATTTTTAATGCACTTAACATTCAGAATATTCACTTGTGACTGTAATGTTCTTTTTGTGAATGAAAAACATTAAAAATCCATATAAATTAAGATTTGATAAAATGAACAAAATAAACAAATGCAAATTATAGCAAATAAATTATTGTTCTAATAACAATTATTAATAACTTTCAGACAAATTAAAAACCTCTTTTTATTGAAAATTATTAATAAGATAGCCTCACTGAGCAGATACCAACTTTAAATAAATTTAACTTAAGATTTTTTAAGTTTCTTTTAAACATGTATAGTTATTAGAAATTTCATACTCAGGTAACACATTTTATAACAATCTTTTTCCTGCTAAATATTAGCATGTCTTCATGTGTCTTCTACTACAACATCCATGTGCCAGGTACAAATAAAAGGACAATATATCAGTTAGACAGTACACATGTAGCTGTTGAAGTAAGTCCTAGTCAAAGCTTTAATAGATCTTCCTGTGTCTAGTCTATTTTTTTCCCTTTATACAAAATGTCTCTTCAGAAACTGAACTAAAAAAAAAACCAGAAACGTGAACAAATGAGGACAATGGCTCGAATGTAAATTAGCCGTAAATTGTAAATTAAGATGAAATTACCGCAAACAATAAAAAAAAACAGAGTTGGCCATTTTAAAAATGAATGAATTTTTTTAAAATGAATTGGTGAGATCTCTAATTTTCCAATTTTGTTTTTAAATAATGAAGCATAAAACAAAAAAATTGACGTCTAAAATTATAAACAAACACTTTTTTTTAAAGTTCATTATAATTTACTTTTTTTATTTATTTTTATTTTCATTTAAAAGATTGAATCTATTTTTCCGGATTAACGAGATGACTAACCGAGATCAAAACGGCATGGCAGGTATTCGCCATGACTAACAACAACATTATAATAATGAATGAGTGTTACTTGACTGTTGTACGACATCGACAACGAAAAACTAAAATCAACACCGTTTTTTTATGGTGTCTAAGTATTTTTTTTAATCGTTTTAAATTATTTAAAAACATGGTAATGATTTTTTTGGTGGGTGGGGCGAGCGAGAAGGACGAAGTGAGCGATTATTGCTTTTTCTCACTCATTGAAATCATCAGATTCCATGCATTTGTAAAATCTGTGATGTCTTTCAAAGCAATAGCAAATCAATAAAAATACCAACGAGCATGACATGTGTACTAACTCGTCCAAGGCCATGTAGTTTTTTTTTAGAGAGGGAACATATTTCATTTCTTGTTATGGTCGTTTCTAATCAAACGTTAATTATAGAAAAAAATTTTAATTTTTAAATATTACTGATAGGGAAAAATAATCCTGAAAATGCTGAATTTGTATAATTAAATAGACGTTTTTTACGTAACCCCGGTTTTAAACCTAACTTCTTACGTATTATTTTTTTTTAACTTTAGGACAAGGACCAATAACTCTTAATTGAAGGGCACATTACTCTGGTTTTCCAACAGTTGAATTAAATTCTGTTGCCACGACCGCACATATGGGCAAATACGGAGAGAGAAAAAGGTAGTAGGTGTGAAAATGTTTTATAAACCTTAGCTGTTCACAGAGGGAAGTATCATGTCCTGTTGACTAAAGGTTTAACACGTGAAAATCATTGCCAACTCGCTTCTTCAATTAGATATAATTTGTTTGTTTTTTTTTTAGCTTTGTCGGTTACGCTGTAAAAAATTTAAACTTAGGAAAATACGGCTAATTGTTACTTTTCTACTTCTCTCTTTTTATCGGACGATGACGAAGGTTTGCTTCCAATGCAGCAGGAAAAAACAACTCCCTCATCATCAACTCTTCTCACTTCAGAAGGATCAACAGGAAGAAGAGACCAACGCCAGAAAGAGCTTCGTCATCAACAGCAACAACTATTATACAAATTTCGTTATCAACAAAATCCCATATCTCAATTTCACCACCAATATCAACCTCAGGCTCCCAGTTGTGAATACACTTACAGAGTCGACAACCCTTCAGGGAACAGGTTTGCAGATGGTGTTTGTGCGGTGACTTCGCGAGGAGGAGGAGGACAAGGAAGAATATCGTCGTCATCCATCTCCGTACATTGTCGGACCCCTGTGCACTTCCCTGATCAGGGGAAAATGAGTGTAAAACTAAAAATAAGGGAAGTTAAGTCTCCTAGTTCAAATTCTTCGGCAACTTCAACTGGAGGAGGAGGAGGATGTGGCCAAGGTTCAGATGGTACTCCAACGAGCACCTGTGGGGCTACAGGCGCGGGGACCAATGTAACTAGTGTGGGTGGTAATTCCAGATCTAACTTTTTCGGCAACAGTTTGAGACGTTTTAAGACATTTAGCCACTTAAAACTTATTTCTGTGTTCCTCTTCAGGTTAGTTGTGAAGTTTTGGAGCGTGTGTACCACGGCCTTGTTTATAATTTTGTTAATATTTTGGTTTTATGGAGGACTAATTACCTTACTGCTCGTCATCATCTCTTTATTGGGTAAGTAAACTATTGTATTACCATCAAATAAATAAAAATAAATGGATGATTACTGTACAATTACTTTCTATAATAAGCTAAATTTTAAATATCTTTCTTTAGTAAAAAGGAAAAAAAAAGAAAGATAAAAAAACAAACTAATTTCCAAACGGTATTAAAAATTTATTAAATCGAACTTGAATACAGAATACTCAGTCAGAAGAATGGGCACAGACACGAGTAAATCTGCATATATTAGAAGAAGAAAAAAGCTAACCATAGTATTTTATTTATTTTTGCGGGAGTGATTTTTACGTAAATTTATTGACAAAAAAAAAAAAAAAACAGGATGTAGGAACATTTTTATTAATGACCTAAATATGCAAATCCCCTGCTAATCTTGTATGCATTTTTGTTGTAACTAATAAAAAAGAAACTTGTGTTAGTTAAAATAAATAAATTCTCACAATTCTTAAATATATTTCTGCTTATTGCGTGGCAAAGTGAAATTAGAAAAATAGATTGCTTCAAAATATTTAGTTTCCGCTTCTTTGTTAACGAGTAAATGAAACCAAATTCAGTGTTGATACTAAGTAGCCACGAAAAAATAGCTTCGACATTGTTATAGTACTTCTCATTTCAATCGACAGTTAAATTTCAGTAAACCAAAGAGCATTATTCAAACAAGACATTATTTATAATAATAATCAAACTTGCTATGCTTTTAAAAAGAGAAAAAATTGAAATGAATGCTTAATACGTCCACTGCAAATTTCAAGACGTTTTCTAGATTGAAATTGACACGAATGATCACATAATTTTCATTTTTCATTCATATGACTGATGAACTGTCGGAAAAAGTGTTTTCAGTTTAATCAAAACATCCCACCTGAAAAATAAAAAATGAAATCTCATTCCATCTTCATTTAAAACTACTTTAAATTCCCTCCATATTTTCCTTTTTTAGTTAGTAACAGAGTGATACAGACTCTACACTAGTAAAAATAGTTTCACCGTGAAATGTAGTTATTCATTGTCACTTAATTGTAAAAAAAATTCTTTAAAAAAAAAAAAAAATACATTCAATAGAATTTTTTTTAACCTTTTCTATCTTTGTAAACTTGGCTTGTTGAAAAGTTAATCGCCCGCTTTCAGTTTCTCTTTTTCATACGCATTTGCTCTCCAGATAATTCCTACCTAACTAAATTTAAATTACATTTGATTTAATCTTGAAGTTGTTTTTCTTTATTAAAAATAAGTTGTAAGCATTTCTACTGTTTTTTTTATTGATTTTTCAAGCACGTTCATTTATTTTAAAGTAAAGATGTCTGTAGCGTTCTCCTGTATTGAACTTTTGGAAAATTGAAATAAAATCTACAATGCAGTAGTAAATCGTGAATTTTCAATTTTTATTTTCGAGTACAAAGTTGTTAATAATTGTTTCTTTTGTTTTTATTAGTTTTTTTTTTTAACTTTTTAAATTTTGATCTGCAGTTTTTGTTTTTTCTTTTGTTTTTTTTTAAGACAGACTTGGTTCTGTTCGTCATTTTTATTTTATTTTGACTGCTTCATTGAATCCTAAAAATAAAATAAATTCAATTTTTACTATATTTCAGAATAACTTAAATTTCAAGTAAAAAGGGTAAAATTTATTATCATTGGAAACAATTGTTTACTGACTGAAGTTATGAAATTCGTAGGTTTTTTTTTGACAACCTCATAAAAAAATTGAATGGATTTATTTTTGATTTGCTGAAGTGAAATATTTTCAGTCCTGACGTAAATTGCAATTAAATCCCGAACTCTTTGCCTCTTGATTTTCGATCATCAGAAATTTAGAAAATACACTTTTTTTTTTTTTTTTTTTTTATATATATACACCAGAAACTTTTTTTTTTTTTTTTTAATGATAACCTAAACAAAAAAAAATCGAATTTTTATTTAACTACTACTACTACTACGGACATTAAGTGTGTGTATAAGTGATCGAAATACGCATGCGCATTGGTTTGCGGGAAATATGGTTTCCAAGGGTTGTTTTTTTTTTTTTTTTTTTTAACATTTTTAACTATTTTATTTTGTAGTTGTAAAAATAATAATGTCAAGGAAATAAAACACAAACTATGTTTAACTATAATGTTTTTTAACCTTTAATTCCTGACAATTTTTATCTGCCAGTTCCATAAAAAAACGCAGTTCTGTTTTTAAGATGAGTGAATAAGCTGAATTTATACAATTTACTTCCACTGAAAGTGAAATCAAATAAAACTGATCTAAAAATGTACTTTTTTTTTCTTTTTTTTTTTTTAATGACATAATAATACTCCTCTCTTGTTTTTTAGTAGTAACAATACTTCGTAAAAAACATGTTATTGAGCAAATTGTTTTTCTCTAAGTAGTCTAATTGATAAAAAAACATTTAAAATGAAAATAAGATACCAAATAAATTTTTTTTTTTTTTTTTTATCACCACCAAAATTCACATCTTAGAACTAAAAAGAATCAGCTTTTAGTAGTGGTTTAAAAATTGTTACAAACTCTTTCAAACAAGTTTAAATTAAATCCATTTATTACATTTTCATTTTTAAAACAATAAAAATATTCATTCGTTTGAAATGGCGGCTATTTACATTCTGACAAGTCAGTTATTTTTTCGGCGGGGTGGGGTTTCGTTTATTTATTTATTTATTTTTTTTTCCTATCAGGTAGTGGTTTATCAACCTGGTCCAGAATAACAATAAATCACTTTTGCAGCCATTTAAAAAATAAAATTAAATTAAAAAAAAAAAACTTTTACGAGGTCATTGACCAATCATTGTCATCAACTGTCAATGTTTTAATTTTTTTTAAAATCACATATTTTTTAAAATTTTTTTTTTTACATCAGATGAAATGAGTCAGGTCCTTTTATTCAGATGTCCCAAGACTGCGGCACTATCTTGCAAATTATTTCAGTTTCACTGTTCCTTTAAAAAGATCGAATGTCTGTAAGTTTTGTCCTCGTATGAAAGAAAACTTGAAGGTACGCTTTTTTGTTAATGGTGGTGGGAGTCATAACTTTGGCTCGTAGGAAAAGTAAAAAAAAATATTTTAATTTAAAATAGGTAATATTTTATATTTTAATATTCTTAATTAAATATGACTTTTATAATATTTTGATTAACTGTTGGATTTATTATATATTTTAAAAATGAAATTCAAATAAACATTTAAAAAAATGTCTTATTTTATTGTAAGTACTTCAAATATTAGGTAACTTTACTTTACTTTCTTTGAAAACTCATTACTTTTCTCACCAACATTTAATTTAGTTTTTTTATTTTAAAAATGCTTTAAAATTTTTGAATTAAAAGTACAACTTAATAACAACAGCTTTATTGCTACAAAATGTGATTAATTAATTAAATAATTTAAAACAGTATTTTTTTATATGAAAAATATTTTTCTAGAATTATTCTTCCAGAAAAAACGTACCTTTTTGTCATGACGGATAAACTAAAAAAAAATTTTATAAAAAAGTATGACCTTGAAATTTATTTGTATTTTTACTTTTTAGTGTTTAGTCTTAATTTCCTACTGTTGTTAGTATTGTTAATTTTATGAATTTCAGTTATTTCATTAATATTTAAAACTCTAATTATATCAACTTGAAAAGTACTTTTTCTAAAAAAATAAAGTGTAATTAGGAAAAGCAGCTTAGTTTTCTTTCGCGTTGCTAGACAAATGAGCTTTAGTTTTATTTTGAATCTGCTATTGAGTCTTAAAATAATTCGTGTCAACAAACATTGTTTTAAAATTCAAAACATCAGAAATTTTAGAGATTTTATCATATTGCAAGCGATTCTTTTTCTGATGTTTTGAATTTTAAAACAATGTTTGTTGACTGAATCAGTGAGGAAAAACATTTTCGCTTTGCAATTTATTATTAGGTTAATTTTAGACAACTTTTGACCTATTTCATTTTCTTATATTAATATTTATTATTTACTGTATACACTCGCGTATCATACGATCTTTGAAGACTTAATTTTGAAGCTAATTTGACTACAGTTGACTAAATGGATAATAATTAAATAATATAGTTTTGGTCAACGAGTTAGCCAGGACCAGCAGTACATACGCTAATTTTCTTGTGTGTCATGCGACTCCCTTAAAATTAGTTTCAAAATATGTGAGTATGGTAATTAAATTATGGGTAACAACACCAACCAAAGTGAATGCGTTTTTTCTCCGAAGTGAAAGTTAAAAAACAAAAAAAAATGTTTAAATTAGGAAATTAGATTTAAATGATATTTTCAGCACTTATTCATAAATTAAATTAAATCTATTTAGTAACGCTTTTAAAAATTAGTGACTAAATGAATAGTTTTTATTTTTTTAAACATTTTTTTTTGTGGGATTTTGGTCAGTCGCTCCTCTCCTTTCTTGAAAATTTGCTTTGAAATTTAACACAAATACAACTAAAATAAATATATTATTACGGATAGTTGATGCTTCTTGCATAATTTAATTTTAAACATTTTTCTTTTCAAATTTGACTGGAAAAAATATTTTACAATGCATATTTATTTTTGAAAATTATATTTATTTTAAACATGCACAATTTTCATAAAAACGACTAACAAGGTATTATTACGGTTAAGTTTATTTAATTTTTCTTGTGTTTTTATAATTTTTTTTTTCTGGGCATTATAAATTATGTAGATTGTCAGCGCTTTCGGCTAACCATGTCCACTGGAGCACGTTCGAAATTTTGGTTTTAAAAAAATCGTTTTGGAAATTTTTGTCCGATTTTAATGAAACTTTCAGAGCTTATTCACAAATGAATGGAATTATTTTAGACATTTTTCTTTTTAAGTCATGGTATTTGTTCACCCCCACCTCCGTTAATTTTACGTAAACTCGAGAAATTTGTCGGCTTGCTTTTTTATTTATTAGTAATAATAGAAGATTTTGAAATAAATCAATTTTTTTGTAAAATCGAATTGGAGAGTTACCGAAAAAATTAATCTCTGAATTGT